GTATGTAACAAAAGTTTTAAACGCAGTGCTGGTTTAAAACTGCATATTCGTACACACACCGATGAATACAAATATTCTTGTAATATATGTAACAAATATTTTAAAACAAAACACTATTTAAGAAACCATAAAGTAATTCATAGGGATACAAAAAAGTATGTTTGTGACATATGTAAAAAAGGTTATAACTTTACAACTGCGTTAGCCAAACATTGTCTTACTAAACATGAAAATATGTATTTATGCAGTATTTGTAAGAAGCTATTCAAAAATAAAAACACGCTAGAAGAACATTTGAAAGTACATATTGAAAAGTGTAATATTTGTAATAAAGAATTTAAAACTAAAACCACCTTAATCAATCACCAGAAAATTCATTTCGATATAAAACCGTTTCGTTGTGAGAAGTGTAATAGAGGTTTTATCAATAAACATCGATTAAAATGTCACGAAGCAACTCACAATGAAGACAATCTTCGTTACGTTTGTGAAGTATGTAACAAGGGATTTTATTTTAAAAGTCATTTAGTAGGCCATCAACTCGTTCATCAGAATCATCCGTATTTTTGCAGTCATTGTAAAAGCAGATTTAAAACAGAAAATAAACTTAAATTGCATTTAAAATTTTTTTGTTTAGAAATACACCCCAAACAATTAAATTATCAATGTAATATCTGTAAAGAAACTTACGTAAATAGATTCTTTTTGGAGCAGCATCTACTCGCTTACAACGATCAGATACACTTCTGCTGTGACGTTTGTAAGAAAAAATTTACGTCACAAGTCGAATTCCAAACTCATCATAACACTGTTCATCCGCCGGGAGGGAAGTATAAATGCAAAATTTGCAGTAGGACTTTTCGGACAAGGGCTGATTTAAGTAAACATAGGAAAAGAAATTCCGATTTAAGCGTTAAGAAATGTAATGTTTGTGGCAAAAGATTCTGTTCAAATTACTTTTTAAAGATTCACGCGCGAAGTCATCGTTCTCAATAGAGTTTTTCTTGTGAAATGCCGCGAAATAATTAACATATTTTAAAATAATTACTATATTTTAATTGTATTATCATAATAAATGTACTGTAAAATATCAATAAATGCAGAGTTTTTCTTATTTTCATTATTAATTCTTAGTATAAAGGGTATTAAAGATACTTAACTGTATGAACACAGTCTTTAGTACAAAGTGAAATAACGGTATTGTGTATGTTACCTTTGAAAAAAAAAGAAAAAATTAAATCTTTGATTAATGATTAATTTTTTCAGGATAAAAGAATTTTTGTTAATGTGTTGATTACAATTTTTATAATGTCAGTAATTCAGTAATTTTTAATTTAAATCTAACGTATAATTAAATATATTAATACTGTAATAATAAAATATTTTAATAAGTAATCTATACTACGTGTATGTTTTTTTATTGTTTTAATACAGTATTATAATAAATATATTCTTATGATCAAACGTTATTTCTTTATTTCCAGTTACAAATATCTGTGATTAAGTATAATATAAATGTAAAAGAATAAATTTAACAAAACATTTGTGAGGTCAGGTAGACACAACGCATAAAAATTTCATGGTGAAATCATTAAGATCCATAGTCCCTTATCAACATCATAATTGCTTCGCCATGTTCACTTTTCTATGAGTAACCATCTTTATTACTCTTAGCAATAACTTACGGACAATGGGTACAAAAAATCGCATTCTACAATTAGACATTCAAATCGATGTTGTACTGGTTCCAGATCGCTTACAATAACGTTCTGTTTAACGGTTCTGTAAGACTTATGTGAAAGTAACGTGCGTTGACTATTAATAATAAAATAAATAAGTAAAATAAAATAATTCGTGTAATCCAAA